AGTGACATGTATATTATAGGAATAACCAACTGTTTTCTGTTGGATTGAAATCCTATTCCATAGGAGGAAATGCATGCATGTTACTGTAAACATGGCTAAGAAACCATGGTAAGGAAATTCCCAGGTCTCATGATTGAACCTGTTGTGGAATATTATTTTAAAGTATGTTGCATTTTTCCTACTGCTTTTGTTAACAATTTAAAGATGTATTTGAGTAGATTATGGGAGCCCGTTTTCAGGTTCCTCGAGCTTTACCCAGCAGGTCCACATAGAGAGGATGATTAGGACCATGGGCATGAGTGCAGGTGTCTGAGATGGTCTGCATTTGGCTATGCTGGGGGGAAGTCTTTTGATCCACCTCTTGGCGTTTCTATAAATACCCTGAGGCAGAGACAGTCAGGGCTCCTTGGAATAGGTTCCAGGCCCTCTTGAGGCTATCCTTTATTTTTTTTTAATCTGTTTATCTCCACAATCTAAATCCTTCTATCTAATATTTCCTGCTGCTCACACTCAAGAAAACTCTGGGGAGCTGTGGAGTTGGTGGGTAAACACCCCACAGTAGATAAAATTAATCTGTGAGCAGGAGGCTGAGTCAGCAGGTAGCTGACAGGAAGCCGACACTTAGCAAGCATTTATTTTAAGTGGGGGCTGAGAGAAGGACACTAGGTTTTTTAGAAGATACCATCAATGGGAAAAAGTTAGCTACTTGCTAGTCAGTCTGTGAGTGAGCAGAATTCTACCTACACCATTGAATAATGAGTTCTTTAAATTTAGATAAAGTTTCCCTTAGTAGCTTTGAAAGAGTCAGTGCCTGAGGGAAAAGAATCTCCTCAGGATGCAGCCCTTGTAGCTGAACAACTGCTCACAGCAGAGGAGTTGCAATCTCTGACCAGTGTACAAAATAAAAAAAAAAAAAACAGATAACAACAGAAACTATTGCTATTATTATTACATAATACCACACTGACCTCTAAATTCATATCTCTGTGTGCATAGATTAGTCTAGCTCTTCAGACTTGTCAGAGGAGTTTCTTTTCATACTGGATGAGGGTTAAGGCAGAAACTCACAACAAGTCAAAGTACAGAGAATAATTGACTATGGAATGCTCAGTCTCAAATGGAGCATCTACATCACAAGCCCCTTCCCAAGAGTCAAGAACCACCTCAGAAGAGGGAGTAGAAATATTGTAAGAGCCAGAGATTGGGAAAGACAAGAGCAAAACAGTATCTTCTGAACATAACTGGACTGACAACTCATGAATTCAGTAGCTATCGTCACCTACACAATAGCCGAATAAGATCAAGCCAGTCAGAAGTCTAGAATGGGGATAAAAGATGAACCTTATCCCTAACTGCAAAGATTTAGAAGCTATGGGCAACTGATGGTTTCTGGGGAAGAGAAAATCAGATTTCTATATGATTTTGGCTCCTTGTAGTTTGTCCATGCTCCAATAGTTGGCTACACACCTAGAAGAATGTGGGCAACACAAATTAGAACTGATGGACTATTTAAAAAGAGGTTGGTAGAGAGGGGGTTGACTATGATGTGGGAAGAGTTAAGGGTATTATGAAAATACATAATGTAAAACTTTCAAAGATTAATAAATATATTTTAAATAATATAGTTCTGTTGAAATTAGTGGAATATATGTAAGATGACAACTGGGACTGTAATCTGGAGAATTTGAGAAGCCTGACCCACACTGTAGAAGTTCTATAATCTGCACCAGTCCATCACAGTGGTACCTTTTCTTCCTGTCTATCATAAAGTATATAAGTTTGATCAAATTCAGAGAAATATATAAAGATGGCAATATAGTCAAGCTCAAGGCAGTACAATCAAGTTCAAGGCATCAGAACTTCTCTCTATAAAATAGGCAGTGCCATTTTAGAATGTAATTGCATGTGATGCTTTTGTTCTCAGTAAAAGGAGTGCTTAATAATTTTATATGGTATTTGTCAGCAACTTTTCTAAATTAGAAGCCCTTTATAAAAGCGCAGATGTCTGAATAATTACAACCGAGTCACTAAGTGATTCTTCTATTACAGACATTTTTTTCTTCTTATTAAGAGATTTTCTATTCATTTTACATACCAACCACAGATTCCCCTGTCCTTCCTTCTCCCACCCCTCTACCCACTCTCCATTCCCACCTCCTCCAAGGCAAGGTCTCCCATGGGGAGTCAGCTGAGCCTGGTACATTTAGTTGAGGCAGGTCCAAGCCCCTCCTCTCTGCACCAAGGCTGCACAAAGTACTGTTTAATGGGTCCCCAGGCAGTGGGATCGGAACCTGTCCCTAGTGCACGAGCTGGCTTTTTTTTTTTTGGCGGGGGGGGGTTCAAGACAGGGTTTCTCTGTGTAGTTTTAGTGCCTGTTCTGGATCTCACTCTATAGACCAGGCTGGCCTCGAACTCACAAACTCACAGAGATCTGCCTGGCTATGCCTCCCCTGAGTGTTGGGATTAAAGGCGGTGGTGGCACACACCTTTAATCCCAGTACTCGGAGGCAGAGGCAGGCAGATCTCTGTGAGTTCGAGGCCAGCCTGTTCTACAAAGCAAGTTCCAGGAAAGGCATAAAGCTACACAGAGAAACCCTGTCTCAAACCCCCCCAAAATAAATGAATGAATGAATGAATGAATGAATGAATGAATGAATGAATGAATGAATAAGGCATGTGGCACCGCTGCCCGGCCCTGTTACAGACTTTCAAATGAATTTTAGTTAACTTTTTTTTTTTTTTCTAAATAATATCCAGACTTTGCTATTGTTGTGTACAAATAATAGTTGATTCTGGGTGAAGAAGACTGCATCGTAATGAACCGTGAAGTGTAGCCTAGTCATGAGTGTGTACATGCTACTAGGTGTCAGCAGCTTCTGGCTCAGGCATGATTTGAGATGTCTCACTAGAATCAAGAAAAATAATTAAATATAGGGGAAATACTGGCGCAGAGAAAAGATTTGTCTAAATAAGTAGACACAGACACTGATATCACAGAGAGTCATGATAAAGACATTCAGAAGTGAGACTGCAAAATTACTTTTCTTACTTTAAGAAAGAAGCCTCTAGAAGTTTATCCAGAGAGTTTCTGAAGATACATGTATTATTGAAAGGGTTTCTCCTATTTTCACCATGTTGAATTATGAAAAAAATAAATTCAAAATCACCAAACTGTAGTGGGTAGCTGTTCTAGCTTTGACCTGGAAATACTACCCCCATTGAGGCTTCTTGTAACTGTCACGCCTCCGAGGAGGGGTTGAGCCAGGAGCCCTTAAGACCTAGATATCTGGATATGTTGGCTCTCTTGGTTCCTGGACCCTGGATGCTGGGTGTAGACCTAGCAGAGTTCTCCAGAGAACACCGCTGGACTGCATTTCACCTCTCCTGGACGCTGTAACCTACCCCTTTACTTGTAAGTAAAGTAAAACCCCCAAATAAACCTCCCTCTTAACTACGTGGAGTTGCCTTAAAATACTTGTACCCATACCAAACTGTAATGCTTGATTCTGTATAGAAAAAACAAAGCAAAGCTGGCTCCAACTTAAAAACAAACAAACGAAAACAACAACAACCACAAAAACACCATCAAAATTAAATACCCTCTGGAAATGGAAGGAACAGGAAGGTTTGTGTCACCCACATGCCCATCTGTCACTCGTTTATCCACATGAAGTCACTCTTCATTGCCATTTCATCTGTCCCCTGGGGCTGCAGTTAAAGAACAAAATCTTCTAATGGGATTCATGTCTGTTTCTGCCATGCTAGTTCTGAATGAAAACATTCATTTTCTTAATAACATTCTCTTGTTCGTGAATGCTTTAAGCATCATTTGTTATTCCCACTGCTTGGCATATAAAATATTTCAGAAAAATAATATGTAAACAGATCAAGTAAATCGAAGATGTATGTGGGAGACCATAGAGTATAGCACTTCTACTGTATGACCAGGATCAGGAGTAAGTTAAATCAATTCCAGTATTCCCTGCACTGCTCAGTTAAAACCTATTGAAAATGCTTGAGCCTGAAGACCTGTGTCTTCCCTGGGAAATTATCTGAACAAGGTATACCAAGCCTCATGATACCAGTACTCAGGAAAATCTGATGAGTGTGAGAAGGATTCTTCTACAATTGGAAAGAGTCTTTGTTTGAATTCCTTCTACCAATTGGCATGCATCCACCTTCCATCTTGGGAATTGAAATGTAACATTTTGTAATGTATTAATATCCCTTCAATGTAGTTCCCATGAAACCCACAATGCCTTATTGAAACCCCCCCCCTGCCCCCCGCTTCTTGATAGGCAGGCAGAGAACATATAAATTGAATGCATCACAGTATACGACTACACCCAAAAAATCTTATCATTGACATAAAAGCTAGGTGCATGTTGACACTTGCAGAACCACATAGCTGACAAGAGCTGGGTCATATGATTATGTCCAAAACTGAAGAAAAAAAAAATGGCAACCTTGTGACAAGATTCTTTCCCCTCACTTTGCAACTGCTCCACTTTGATTGGGTCAACTGAGTCCACTGGTGAGCTTTCTGCCAGTAAAGCACACTTACGTTGCTATATTTAAAATGCTGTACCCTTCTTTCATAAGACATGAACAGAGAGCAATCCCTCATTTTTATTTACTAGTACTTTCATCCTCTCTGAGTTGGAAGAAATAGTTTAACATTAGCAAACAAGGGGAGGCACATGATAATTAAAAATTAAAGTGCTCCGAACTTTTTTTGATATAGAATTCTACTAAATATATTTTATATTTACCAAAATTAACTAATTTTGATAAGTTGCCATGTCATGATATTCAAGACAGCAATGTTTACTTCTCTAAAGTGGACAGGACTAGGAGAGGACAGAAGGAGGAATGGACTGAACACTGGAAGGCATGTCATTAGAGATTCTTGACATCAAATTTCTCAATGGCCTTAGAGAAGCTTTTCTACCTATAGTACCTTGAAATTGTAACATTGTGTCTTCTTCCCTCTACAACAGTGGTTCTCAGCCTTCCTAAGCTGTTATCTTTTGATACAGTTCCTCATGTTGCAGTGACCCACAAAGGTAAGTATTCTCATTGCTACATCCTAACTGTACTTTTGCTACTGTTATGAGTCATAATGTAAATATCTGTGTTTTCTAATGGTCTTAGGCTGGACCCTTGTGAGAGGGTCTTTTGATCTCTAGAGGGGTCATGACCCATAGCTTGAGAACCACTGATCTACATAGATATATTTTAAGTTTATTTGTTTACATGTAAGATCTTCTCAGGAGACTACCAATATACCATATCAATCTCATCTCAACCATTCTGTGGAACAAATTAAACATTTTTTTTTCATTTTCTTAACATCCCATGCCTTATATACTCCTTTGTCTTTGTCTAGTTTTTATAAATGCTTGTATAAACTTGACATCTTACACTTCCACCTCTCACATTCTGAATTAGAACTAAATACATCAGCTCTAGCAGATATGGCAGCTTCTTCCAGACTTCATGGATACTCACCCTCACATGTGAATATACCCATATCCAGAAAAGCAGTGATGTCACTAGTGAATAAGAGAATTAGCATGCATTTGGGAACAGAGTTAAGTTTTTTAAGTCTCAGACCTTGTCTATTTTAAAAAGTATCAGTTACCATTGTCATAGCATCCAAAATATTGACTTAACTAAATTTCAAATGGTAAGGCTCAATTTATGTGAAATAGCTTCTTTTTATGACTTTCCATACTTCTCAATATTTAAAGTGATGTTCACCAGGTATCATGTTGCCATGTTGGATTCTATATTTCTTTATCAGAAGAATTCTGATAAAATGATTCAGGTTGTTTCTGAGAATTAGTATATTAAAAAGTATAAAAAAAATGGTCTCTCCATTGCCATGTTGAATGTGTACATAACAATGCAATAAAATAAATAAAATAAAATAAATCTTTAAAGCAACCAATGAATCTGGGAATGTATATTGAAAATTAAAATACATAAAAATAAAATATTTTATATTTATTATATAAATAAATAGTTTAGGTATTTTATTTGTTATATTTTATATATACATGTAAAAGAATGTAGCAAATGTTTTTTAGGCCTTCATGATTGTAAGAGATTTGTCCAGGACTGATAGCATTTAAAGCATGATGCTCCTGGGTCCTCTGTGTGTTGGATTCAGTAGTTAGTCAGAAATAAGCTGATGTCCACCCACTTCACACATTTCCCGCCCATGATTTTCATTTTGCCTGATTTGGTGCCTCAAGCAATACATGACATTATTTGGCACAGAGATATACCAAACATGTCATAACTTTCATCAAATATTTAGCAAATATTTAAAAAGAGTTTGGGAAACACAAATATGCAGGAGATTTCATCTATACACCTTCAGCCATTACTGTTTAGGGTGATTTTAAATGTAGCAAAACTATTTCCTAAGACACAGCTTTAGTACTGTGCCACATGGGAATAATAAAGAACAAAGAACCCAGGTCATTTGGCATATCAGTACTTAGAATAGTCTTCAAATTTTAGAATTATCTAAAATAAGGCCTCAAAACTTTGTCTAAATATTCATGAATACATAAAGAAAACCAATAGCCTAATTAGTTTCTAAAGTAACTATGCCTAAGTTTTATGACATGAATTTCTAGGTAAAAATGTAAAATAATGCTCACTTAATACTCAAATACTCCTCTACTTTCTTATTTCTTAGATTTCCATTAACTTAGCATTGGTTTTACATTTTTTTCTTTGAAATATTCTATCACCAGGAGCTCTGAAACACATTAAAATCATTTTCAATTACTATTTGAAAGTAAAAGCAATTTTAAAATACTCAACAAATTATGTGTTGTTGCCTTGTGGCATTTAAGATTTATTTGAGGGAAATTAAAGCTTTGCGAGAGAAAAGAAACATAATGTGCATCAAGATGGTGGAAGAAATTTTTCCTTAAAATCTTTACTACTTCCTATTCATTCAAGATGAAAAAGAACACACAAAGATCCACCTGTGCCTGGCTCAGGGATGGCCATGGAGAAATAAAGGATCTCTTAAACTAGTATTCACTTCTTCTACATGCTTAATCACTTACCTACCCAAACACGAGGTCTTTAAATATCAGTTAAACTAACAGATCATGAATGTAGTAAAAGTTTTTAACCCCCGTTACTATAATCTACTCTAAAGGGTTCCAAATGTGATGAGGTCTGAGATTTTGCTATGTTAAGGGAAAAAATTCTATGAGGCCATTGACATAGGTATAATTACTTTCTTATAATGTTTTGAAAAACTGGGATTGCCAGGGAGGACCATCAGAATGTTCACCAGCAGATGTCCTGTATTCTGAATGTGGATTTCCATTCTCTTCTTTCTATGGATGCCATCGATGAGTCTTGAAATTGAGTCTCTTCTCACATCCTGAGGCCAGTGGAGAACTGAAACTTTCAAAAAGTCTTGGAGAGTTTTCAAGCCATGTTTTACTGTCTCCACACTTTGTGATATTAGGGTGAGTTTGTGTGTGCCAGTTCAGTGACTGAGCTCTTGATACCGGAAACACTTGAAACAAAAATAAACAAGACCAGCACTATTGAAGCAAGGAGGAGTCTCTTAAATCCTGTTTTCCTGGCTGTGTGTATTTTGCAGAGACTCACTATCTTTTATTAGCTGTAGGAGTCTCTTGGGATGAAGCCTTTGGGTTATCTGTTCCAGTTTCAGCAAAGAGGCACAGAGAAAGGGATGACATTGCATATGGCTGTGGTGTTATTACCTGATAATAGCAAGAGACAGAAGAAATATAATCCTTAAAGTAGTCACTTAAAACATTGATAGTTGTTGGGTTGTTTTTCTTTCTCCTTTTTAGTAATCTTGATCCATCCTCTTTTTTTTATTTAATATTGACATGTTATACTCTGATCCCAGTTCCTCTTTCCATTCTACTCCCAGATCCTCTCCACATCTCTACCCATTCCTCTCCACACCTTCCTTACACTTTCTCTCTTTTGAAAATAAAATAGACAAATGCAAAAAGCAAATTAACCAGAACAAAATAAATAAAAGTTTAAAAACCGTTTTAAAAACCACAAGAATCACACATACACATGTACACACACACACACACACACACACACACACACACACACACACACAGGCAAAACCAGGAAACAAACAATTAGAAACCAAAATACACAAGGAAAAGAGAAGTGAGATTAAAAAATGAAAAGCCCAAATAAAGCAATATGAGATAAAAAGTCTACAAAAACACCATTCAGTTGATTTTGTGTTGGCTATCTACTGCTGGGAATGGGACCTACTTTAAAGTGTGGTTTATATACCCACTGAAATGCTGCTGTTGAAAATTGATTATTTTCTTTTGAAAGCAGATGCCAATTGGAGATAGCCTCTCAGTTAGAGATGGGAGACTGGGAGATGTCAGACATGTGTCCCTTCTCAAGGAGGGGGCCTTAAGTCCAATCAGAGAGTGATCACTACTTCTACCACATTTGTGCTATTGCACCAGAGTGTTTTGCAGGTCTCACCACTGCAAATCATTGGAATTGTTGCTGGGCTGGTTTTCAAGGTTCTCTTGTGCTAGTGTGCAATGCTCTTTCAAGTACCATGAACAAGGGTCAGTAGGGATGAAGACTCTAGTTAGGAACCAGTTCGTGTTCAATGAGATATGTAAGTGTTGTTTTCAGCTATAGGACCTTACTGTCAATTTGTAAAGATCAACCAATAACCAGTTTACAATACCAGTGTACAATAACCTTTACAATAACCAGTGCTATTTAAGAGTTTCCACTAGACTCCTTTAGCCAACAGCTCCGTTAAATGTAACCCACTCCTGACACTGGAGTATTCACTTAGTGTAGAAGGATGTCTGGTTGGGGTATTATTTCTTCTGATATTTGGTGACTCTATTTAGATTCCTTTCATATATTTTTAGTAGCTTCTACAGTAGTAGATTCTCATGTGACCCCTCAAATGTCCTTTAGTGTTTGTCTTATTTACCGTTTTATTGCTATGAAGAGACATCATGACTAAGGCAGCTCTTATAAAAGAAAAGATTTAATTAGGAACTTGCTTACAGTTTTAGAGAGTTAGTACATGATCATCTTGGTGGGAAGCAGACAGGCATGGTGCTGGAGCAGTAGCTAAGAGCTTTACATCCTGATCTGCTGGCAGCAGAGAGAGAGAGGGGGAGAGACGGGAAGAGAGAGAGAGAGAGAGAGAGAGAGAGAGAGAGAGAGAGAGAGAGAGAGAGAGAGAGAGAGAGAGAGAGAGAGAGAACCTAGCATGGGCTTTTGAAGCCTCAGGACCCTCTCTCAGTAACATATCTCCTCCAGCAAAGCCACACTTTCTAATCCTTGCTAAAGTGTTCCACTCACTTGGGATCAAGCATTTAAAAACATGAGCCTATGGGGACCATTCTCATTGAGACCAACACGGTGTTAGTTGTCCTTGCCCTTACTCCCTTCTTTAAGCCCTGCTAGCCTCCTCCTCCTCGTTTAATCCTCTTATTTTAGTCAGCCTACTGTTTCACCATAACTGTATATTCTATTTCCCCTTCCTTGGAAGATCACCTCCCTCACCTAGTTCTTTACTCAATAACTAAAGTCTGTGGTTATTAAGACTGTACTGTGTCTATTGAAAGTTCAAAAGTTAACATCTACATATAAAAGAATACACAGTATATTTATTTTAGATTACCTCACTCAAGATGATTTCTTTCCTAAATCCAATACTTACTTCTGAATTTCATGATTTTTTGAACAGTCTTCCATTGTTTAAATGTACCACATTTTCATTGTCCATTCATCTGTTGATAGACATCTAGACTGTTTTCCATTTCTGTCTATTATGAGAGGATTTGTTTTTCTAGTCTTTTTTTTTTTGCTGTTGTTGTTCCCTTTTTGTAGATAACAGCATTCCACTTGAAAAGATATCAACTCAGCAAAATCAGAATCATGTTGTAATAGGAAATATTCAACTATTGTAAACAATTTTGATATTCTCGTCTCTGAACTATAAACAATAAAGCAAGTATACTTTAACGCTTTTAACTTTCTTAGGAATCAGTCCCTCATGATCTGTGATTAAAACTTTGTTAACGTTTTTCAGGACCCCAGGAAGACATGGGGATCGCCCAATGACAGAGAAATGGATGAGATCTACATGAACAGCCTGGATATGAGTAGGGGTAATGAAGTCAAGGTTCGAAGGAAAGAGAGCTTGTGGGAGCAGGAGATCCCAGCTGGATCAAGAACAGAGAGGGAGAACAAGGAATAGGAGACCATGGTAAATGAAGACCACATGAGAATAGGAAGAAGCAAAGTGCTAGAGAGGCCCACACAGATCCACAAAGATACCCCCACAAAAGACTGCTGGCAATGGTCGAGAGACAGCACGGACTGACCTACTCTGGTGATGGGATGGCCAACACCCTAATTTTCATGCCAGAAACCCCATCCAAGGACTGAGGAATCTGGATGCAGAGATCCACAGCTAGGCCCCGGGTGGTGCTCCAGGAGTCTAATTAGCGAGAAAGAGGAGGGTTTATATGAGCAAGAATTGTTGAGACCAAGGTTGGATAAAGCACAGGGACAAATAGCCAAAGGAATGGAAACACATGAACTATGAACCAATGGCTGAGGGGCTCCCAACTGGATCAGGCCCTCTGAATGGGTGAGACAGTTGATTGGCTTGATCTGTTTGGGAGGCATCCAGGCAGTGGGACCTGGGTCCTGTGCTCATTGCATGTGTTGGCTGTTTGAAACCTGGGGCTTATGCAGCGTCCATTGGCTCGGCCTGGGAGGAGGGGACTGGACCTGCCTGGATTGAGTCTACCAGGTTGATCTCAGTCCTCGGCGGAGGCTTTCCCTGGAGGAGGTGGGAATGGGGGGTGGGCTGGGGGGAAGGGGAGGGGGACGGGAGGGGGGAGAACAAGGGAATCCATGGCTGATATGTAGAACTGAATTGTATTGTAAAATAAAATAAAATTAAATTAGGGGAAAAAAAAGCTTTATTAACATTTTCAATGTTGGGGAATGAAACTCTTTCCTGGAACCTCCATTCAACCTATCTGCACTCATTTATAAAATCATTTATAAATTTTCAAGTTAATCACTGTTTTTTTTTCTATTTTTTATTTTTTTATTTTATTTTTTCTTTTTCGAGACAGGTTTTCTCTGTGTAGCTTTGCACCTTTTGTGGAAGACACTCTGTAGTCTGGCCTGGCCTCCAACTCACAGAAATCTACCTGCCTCTGCCTCCTGAGTGCTGGAATTAAGGGCATATGCCACCACTGCCCGACTTATCACAAGTTTTATAACAGGTTGAAATTTAAAATTCATAGATAACTTCTGCAAGTTGTATATCAACCACCATATATAAATATATATGTATATATAATCATAATGGAAATCTTAAGGAAACTATGTGAAGTATTGCTGAACACATCTACATATACAAATACATTATCTTCAAGTGTTAATATATTTTAATATTATTTAAATTTTATTCAAGTCTACTCCATATGTGAAGAATTTATTATTTGTATGTCCCTGATTCTACCTATGGTGATTTGTATAACTGAATTATAGGCTATTTGTTTGCTTTAACACAATTTTGAAATCCTGCAATGCATTTGGTACAACTTCTAAAATAATTAAAGTATATGTTAAATACAGTTACAGGTATTGAACAGTTTAGGATTAATAAATAGGATATGGATCTAACGAATATTAGTATATTTCAAAACTAATATAACTTCTACTGCAGGCCCAAACACTCAAGATAACTAAATGTAAGAACATGGTGACAAAGGAAATTCTGAAGATGTGCATATCTAGCACCTTGCTGAAAACTATGCCAAGAGTTTGTGTTTAAATAAACAAGTGCATTTTCTATATCTTCTTTAAGTGCTTCTTGTTTGCAAAAATTCACTGACAGCTAAACAGTGCATAACAATATCTTTCAATAAAATAGAGGAGAACATGACTGCAGCAATTTCAGTCACCAAAAGAGTGGAGATGTTGCATCTTCTTTTAAAGCCTCATGGGACCTTAAAATGAAACTGTAATTATAGAGATGTTGAAGTTTGTATCTTTCAAAATTTTTGTTCAGATATCTATATATATGATTGCTCATGTGATTATTTTGTCATAATCTAATAACACCTCAGCTATGCCTACAGCAGATCAGAAATTTAAGTTGAAATAAAGGAAGAGACATAATCTAGCTTCTCATTTCAAGTGTGAAACTTTGTACTTAACAGGTGAAGATGTAATTGAATTGGCATCTACCTCAAGGCAGATGGTTTATGTCATACATACATATGTGTGTGTGTGAGTGTGTGTGTGTGTGCCTGTGTGTATGCATATATGTGTGTGTGTGTACTTCAATTGGTTTCACAGACATTATGCCAGAATTTCCAATGAAATGAAATTATAGAGAGCATAAACTCATAGAGCCATGTAGATCAAGGTTCTTATTTGTAAGAATTAAAGCAATAAAGAAAAATTCTTATTAATACCATGATGGTATTAGATTTTCTTTATTGTGAAACTTTTTAGTGCTTCAATCTTATTGAATTGTATAGATCTGTTTCTAGTGTTATCTACATAATTAAAACTTAATTGTTGGGGAATCCCATACATGCATACTATATTTACATGTTTTCTACCTCTACCTTCCACCTTCCAATTTCAACTCCTCCCATTTGTGCTCAGTCCATTTAAAATTTATGACTTCTTTTTCTTTAGTATATATATATATATATATATATATATATATATATATATATATATATATATAAAACCTCCTGCCTTCTGAATTCATTTAGTTTTGCTCCTATCTCCTATGTGTATGTGTGTGTAGCTGACCACTTGGGATTGATATTTTATTAGATGCTCATCCTTGGGGAAATCTGCTTCTCCCTCTCTTAGCAACCACCTATAAATCTTCATCTAGAGGTGGAGTCTTTTGAGATATCTCCCTTTAACTTCAACATGTCAATGCTATTGTCATTATGCACAGATTCTTTTGGTGATTATATTGTTGAGATGTCATAGGAGCAGCTTTCTTGTCATATCTAATAGCCACTGTCTTGAAGTAGATGCCCAGGTCATCTGCCTCTTACAATCTTTCTACTCTTCCTCAATATTACTGACTATTTGCATTACTACACTTTGCTACACAGGAAAACAGAAATAAACTTGATTACTCATATCTTTCATTTCTCTTTTCTTTATGCTGGGTTCTGCCTAGAAACATTCCCATCAGACACAATTCCTTCAGTGTTTATACCAATGATAAAGTAAATACTGCAAAAAAGGAACTTAAAGAAGAATGAGAGCACTCATTACATTTCCTAACCTCACATTGCTTATACCTTCTCTCACATTACAAACCCATCACCACTTTTACAACATTTCTCTGAGTTACATACCCAAGGAACACCAATTTTTGTAGGACTGTTAGGCCATATATATTTTACAATGTTGTCCATTAATCTCACAATTGTGTGCCTAATATATAATGTCATCAAGAGATTTGTTAGAAATATGAGAAGAAGGATGGGTTCTTGGTACTCTGTAATTACTATAGGATCCAGGAAGTACAAACATTGCTTAGAACCCTGAGATAGCACAACCAAAGCCCTAGGTCTAAGTCTTAGCATCAGAGGAAGAAAGAAAGAAAAAAATGAAACAAGAAGATGGGAAAAGAGCAAAGAAAGGAAAGAAAATAGGAAAGATAAAAGGAAGGAGTTCTGATTAGAAATATGTTGCAAAGTAGGGCACAGTGGGAAGAGTCAGCATTTCAAGGTCATCCAAAGCTACATAGAGTTTGACTGAAGTTTGTCTACTCTACATAAGACCCTGGCTCAAAAACCAAACACAAAACGATTAAAATAAGATAACACATAACTGTAAAATATGTATCCTTACATATTCATTGACAAAGTACTCTGAAGGTAGACTATACTTTCATATTCTTATAATGTCATTGCAACCCCAGGATTCTTGGCATAGATATGCAGTTTATGAATGAAGATACACTTACAGTGAACATATTGTTGTGGTTATGCTAAGCAGGAGGGAGTCTTCAGAAATGCCAATTTCTCCCAATAAACATCTGCACTTTGCCTCCCCCAGATAAGACCTAACAACACCTAGAAATTCTGAATTATAATTTCTTGAAATAAGGTGAGAACACTGAAAAGAATGTATCAGACCTGTTTATCCATGTCTAATTACCACAAGAGACTACTAAATGTCAGCCATAGACCAGTCAGCAAAGCATTACATCTCAATTTCATATAGTCATCATGTTTCCTCACTTTGCTTTATCAAATTTTAATCCTAATCTGCAAAATTTTATCCTGTGTAATAATCCATTATATAAACTGTCTTATTTGACAAATCTGTTAATGAAGGAAAACACACACACACACACATGCACTGATGTACCCAGAACTCATTTGAACAATATTCAGCTGTCAGTTGTAGACATGAACATTGAACGAGAAGAAACACAGGCTGTGTATACCTCTAGGTCCTCTTCTCCCCATTCCCTACCCCAACATCAGAACAAAGATCTAATCCTCATCACTTCATTTACAGAAAACATATTAAAAGTTCTTACCAATGGAGAGAAAAATTATGATTCAAGTCAAGAAACAGGGTCAATGTCTTTTACCTTATTAGAATTCTAAATACAAACAAAAGTAGGAACCAAATATTATAGCTAATACAAACTCTTCATTGGATATACAAATCCTTGGCTCTCTATTTAGAATTTGATCTCATTTCAGAACCCTGGAGACAGACTTGAGGGCTCTGCTAGATCTCTGTGTCCCTCTTGCCAATGTGACCACATTAAATAAATCTTAAGTTCCTGATTTCCATTATTAAAAAAAAATTCTTCAAATATTTGTCTTTGTTATTTGGAATAGTATTAATAGTTCTTAAATATACTATGTTATGGTGGTATTTTATTTGTACTTAAATGTGATTTTAATTGTATGTTAATAAATAAAGTTGCCAGGGGGTCAGAGCTATTAGACCCATAGCAAGAGTGTGTCAGTGGTGGCACACGCCTTTAATCCCAGCACTTGGTAGACAGAGCTAGGTAAGTCTCTGTGTATTCAGGGATACAGCCAGCATTGGAGACACATGCCTTTAAGACCTGGAGGGCTGTACTTACAGGCAGTGATGAGGCAGTCATGTATTTGGGTTTACAACCAATGAGAAGGCAGAACAGAAAGACTATAACAAGACAAACACACAGGAAGTAGCTCTCTTTCAGAGAGGTAGGACCACCGCAGGAGGAAGGGTAAGGCTTTAGCTCTGAGCTCTGACCTCTTGGCTTTCTCTTTTACATTGGTTCTGTGTTTCTTATTTAATAAGACAGTTGGTTGCATCTACACTATGTGATAAATTGCAGACATTTAAACAATAATGCACTCATGAATAGATATTAGCAATCAGTTTCTTAGATGAACTGTGGCATGGGGTTTATGAAAAAAGCTGTATTAAACTGACCCCAAAATAAACAAAACTGATACAAGACAAACTACCAAATCCTTTGCTTTTATAGGCAGTGCTAATTGGACTCAGTGGGTTATTTTTATAAAAACAAGAAGACATAAACTTGGGAGGGCATATTAATATTGGGGATCCAGGAGAAAGTACAGGGGAGTAATGGTGGATAGATGTGATTAAATAGATTTTATATGTATGTGACATTGCCAAAGAACAAAAATGTTAAATGTATAAAGAAATAGAAAAAAATCATAATTTATCTTATGTATTTAGACCATAAACTAAGCTAAATAATGTAATCTACATTATTGTATGTTTTTCCAATGATATTTTTACAGCAGAAAACATTTTTAATTACACTCAGTTTAGCTACTCTTCGAGTTGAATTGCACGTCAGTCAAAGAATGTATTAACAGATGGTAATTGAAATGACTTAAAAACAAGTGAATTACATAGTAGCCTCCTGTAGATTTAAACCATCCAAAGTTAGGGTCCCAAGAAGTTAATACAGAAATCTAGCTTAAATTTACTCTACTAAATCTAGATTAAGTGCTCAACAGAGAAGGACATTTTCATTTCCTCTCTGGTTAGCCTTTTGGTTGCAATGGAAATTGTGAAGATAAAAGGAAAGATTTACGGACTTGATTTTTCCATATACTGATGGCAGTTAATCAAATTAATATAGTTTATGCCTACTTCAAAAGAGCTGTCTATTAGAAATAGGGACTCAAACTTCAATTTTGAATCCAAAACTAACAAAGAACACAAATAGAAAGACAAACAAATGAAAAACCCAAAAAGCTAAAAACACCTCTGCCACATATAAAGTACTCTGTTTCTGTAGATCATAAGGTGGTGTATCCAAACACATTTTTTATAGACTATGGTTATTAATTTTCATTTTTGATAAACCTTTTTGTTTTTTTAAATACCAAATATTAAAAATATGTTTCATCATTTAATCAGAACTCAGTTTAAAAAAAGAAAGAATTCAACATAGCAATGGAGAGACTATTTTTTTATATATATTTTTAAAATAGTGAATCTCAAACAAGTTGGATCATTTCATCAGAATTCTGTTTTAAAAAGAAAGAATTCCACATGGCAATTGTGATATCTGGTGAACATCACTTTAAATAGTGAGAAGTATGAAAAGTTGTCATAAAAAGAAGTGATTTGACATAAATTTAACATTATCATTTGAAGTTAGTTAAGTCAATAGCTTGAATGCTATGACAAATGTAAAAAAATTTTGGAGGATAGAAAACAAGGTCTAAGACCTCAACACTTGACTCTGAATTTTTAAATGCACTATGATTCCCTTTTATTCACTAATGATTTCAGTAAATTATAGGTTTTGACTTTTCTCACCAAATGTAAATGACTTTTTTTATAAGGAGGACAGACTGAATTATGTTCTAAGTTTAGAGACAAGATAAGTGACCCAGATGTTCAGCCATTGAGCTGAGGGCTCTCATCAACCCCTGGTTTCACCTCAGCTCGCCCTGAGATCACTGAACAGGCCTTTGGTGCCAAGACACCTGAGCACTGACTCAGAACCTGGCAGTGGTGCAGGGCAGAGTCAGGAATAGTGGGAGGAACAGGCTGGAGAAATAGCTTTCTTCCATTCTGTCCAGAGTTGGACAATACCTTTAGATTTCTAAAAATCTATTTTTAGAAGTCAGTGTTGTCATCCTTTAGTAAGGGAAGTGCAATTCTGGTATTAAAGCTATTTACAGTCATTGTGCTATTTTTTCATTCAAATGTAATAAAGTACGTCAGAAAAACAAAAACATGTCTTGACACATCACACTTCAGGTATTTCCTTGCATGGTAGTTCATACCTCTAATCCCAACACTCCACAGGCAGTGGCCGGAGAATTGCCATGAGATTAAATCCTGCCTGTACTAATTAGAGATTTAAAAAAAAAATAGCTTGGGCTTCTAAGATACTGTCTAAAGAAGTCCAAATGTCAAAACAACAAACAAAAATAAAAAACACTGCAAATTAATTGAAACAAAGTGTTCCATGAATGGTGTCACCAGCACATCCTTTCTGGTGGAACTTACTTGGTTTTGATACAGTGCACATTGCAAACCCTATCAGGTGATTCTCTGAAAATAGCTAAGCAACAAATGGTAACAAAACCAACTCAGGCAGGCTGGGCCTTAGTATAACTGAGTGGTGGTGAAGGAACCCTTCTTTTAACAGTGTCCATCATTTAATAATGTTTAAGGATCAGAGTTGGGTCAAATCATAAATTCTTATAATGTGGCCGTGTATTTATGATTTATACTATATATTATTTTCTATTAAAACTTTAAAGTTGCTTGAGTAACCATGTGCGATGGAAAGGAAATATGCTTTCTTAGAAAAATGCATGTTATTTTCAGAGGCCCATGTTATCAGAAATGACAAGTGGGTTGAAGCATCACCTTGGCACCAGGAGAGAATTCTGTCCTCATCAATCTCTGATGCAGATGGAAGAGCATGGCTGTCCTGCCTTTGACTCTATTTACTATTAAACTTTTTCAAAATAGTAATAGTAACTGGTGTCCTAAACAGTAAACGATTCGTATGCCATAAACCATTCTTTAATTCTCTTGTATTATAACTTCACAACTTCAGTCTTATTTCATATCTAGATAACTTACAAAGAGCTAGTCCAATGAGCAGGGTCTCTAAAATTGTTTTCATTTCTGAAAACCATTCTAGGCAGCCAAAGGGAAGAAGCTGCATGTGTTTTTCACTTGACTTACGTCACATTCAGATAAAAAATACATCCCTTTGCTCTGAATTTTTAGTTAAAATGAATCACTTTTTTTAACTGAGGTGTTTCCCTTGTGATTTAAATAACAAAATGAAACAGAATGGGAGGTTAACTTTTAAATTCAGAAATCTTGATGATGCTTTTACTTTTAAAATGTGAAGGAACGCAAAGTGAAAACTTATCATTTCATCCAGCTTTACCTGGACCGTGGCTAGTGGAAAGCAGGAAAAAATAGTTGCATAAAACTGAAGTCATTACACATGTAGGACAGTACATAATTTACTTATAATTCTGCATATAAACTATATACATGTGTATACGATGTATATACACATATGATAGTGCTATGTGCATGTTTGTACACAAGTAGCACAATTTGCCTGTGTTATTGCTCTAATTACTTATAAAGGCCTGTAATATGTTAGACAGAACATGTGTGCAATAAATTTAGTTAAAGGTATGATCTCTTCACTTGAAATTTTACAGATCAGGAATTTGAGATGAGTAAGTTACAAATGTATATGTTCAATCACTTGAGTTTGAAATTCCTTACATTATCATTTCCCTGCATAGTGTCCGTGATTGTCATGGACACACATGCCACATTTTGTGGGGGATTTCATGGGCTTTTGCTTCACGGTCATTTCAAAGAATCACAAAATTTATTCATATGGATAGTGTAATTGCCAAAGGATAGATGTGAGCAAATACTGGACTTACACTGAATGAGTCTGACACTGTGCTAAGCTTGCTGAAGGAGCTTCTTACTGAAACAGCATTATGACATTCAGAACCCTAAACACAAACAAGCTCTCATGAGATGATAAGGCTTTAAAACTAAAATTTCCAAGTTAAAAAAAAAGAAAGTTTCCAAATCAGTCATTAAACTTTCTGCATTATTTTCTCTCTGAACTTTTATTTAAAATATTGTATTCATCATCCTTTTTTAAATAATTTTGCAATTTGATGAAATAATATCTTTTTAGTCAAAATATAAAAGCATCTACATAAATAATACCATAAATGATATACAATGTTTGAAAACTATTCTGAATTAAACTGATCATCTGCCATCATTTCACACTAGTCATGTCAGAGTTGAGGGGACAGCACAATGTGTTTGCTATTTCCAAACACTATTATTGTAATTACCAATAAAATAGTAATAATAAAAGCGAAACTGTCAGATCCTTGGTCGTTCTCAGTAGCAGAACATTGCTTTGAGGGAATTAGATACTTAGTAAAAAAAAAAAAAAGTAATTTACTTCAGTAAGAAACATAAAACAGTTGTTAATCCATCCTTATATCAATATCCAGGGAATTTAATGGAAATAATATCTATTGTTACAAACTAAAGTTTAACTTAGTTTTAATGCAAAATTAAAATAAGTGTCTGAGTCGGGGGTAGAAAACTCCATGAAAGTAAAATATTGCCCTCCTTAATACAAAATTTCATTCTTATATAAATTTGTTCTCACTATATAGATGAATTTATTCTTCATTTTTGGGTGAAATTTAAGATAAGACAGTCTTATTTTAATATTTGATAAATAAAATATAAATATTACATTTATCAAGTTATGTTTTAATTCAATAAGGTTTGCGGAGACCTGTTTTCCAAATGTCAAAAGCACCAGGGTCCTTAGGGATGACATTTAACCTGATATGTTTAATATACTATGCTGAGAGAATGCATGGTTTTCTAGGAAGATGCTATTAGTATTCGTAGGCTCTAGGTTTTTTTGCTCCTACTTCTTCTGTTCACCAAAATGATTGATTAGGAAGAACCAGAGGGTTACTAGTAACCGTAGTTTACTACAGTGTTAACAGTCACTGCAGATTTTTTTTCCCCTAAATCAGGTTGCGAAGCCGGTGGGCACAGTATTGTTATTTTATCCTCCCCCAAAAAACAAGAACAACAAACAACAGTAAATAGGGAAAGATGATGATCAGAAAGAATATAGAAGATGAAATATCCAACAAAGGTGACTTGTAGGACAGTTAGCAAAAAACGTCATCTCTTTTTATAAGGGGCCCAACTCTCCTGAGTAAGGAGAGCTTCATTCTGGTATTTTACATAAAGAGACTGTAATTAGTTTTATGGACTTTCTGAAATAACTCCAAAATAGACTGAATAGTTGAGGACAAAAGTTACAGATGCCACATATCAGATGCAAAGAAGCCCTGAAAGTGTATTTTTTTTAATATCTAAGTATTTGCGTATTTTATCTGTATGCATGTCTACACTGATCATTGTATGTAGTTTTAATGGTTATATAAACATGTTCTAGACATTTACCTTTTCTCCATCATTTAATACAATGCCTTTATGTATACACCATACAGCTTTAGAAACTTGTGGTTTTATCCTGTGTGTGAGTGTGTGTGTGTGTGTGTGTGTGTGTGTGTGTGTGTGTGTGTGTGTGTGTGTGTCGGGGGGAAATGATGTAATGTAAGGCTTCAGCGACTTGTGGTAAATTACATTCAGCATGTAATGATCATTTCTAAGGGCAGCTTGAAGAAACTCTAGCTTCACTTTACAATTCAGTAGTGGATGCGTCTGGAGATCGCTGGAGTTCTGCTGCCCTCTACTGGCCCGTCTCGGTAAGTGCCTCTATCGCTGCTGTCTTGCATCCTACATTTCTATTTTCTTTGGTTTTGCTCACGTGTACATGGATCATAATTCAAAGTATCTTCAAATTAACTTTGAAACATTTTCTAAAATTCCATACAGAAAAATAAAACTTAATCAGTATCATACATCTTCATTCAAGCATTTCTGGGTCCATTTGCTGTGAGTGAGTGGGAAAACAACGTCCAAACATAAAAATGACAACTTTCACAGATGAACAGATATTCTACAGTCCCATTTATCCTCAGCTTTTCTGGGACTGTGCATGTGCATGGAGAGTGTGATGCTACCTAAGCTGCTCATGGATCTAATTTTAGTGTTCCTTTTTTATTTAAAGGAGAGCTATTTCGTTTCTCTGTTCCTTCAAGTCATCTCCTGTTTTGAAACACACAGATGCTCAGTGATCTTACCCAGAACAACCCTATACTTCCTCACTCCAGTCACTTTATTTTCTCCTGGTCACACTCCACCTATGGAACAGTGCCTCGTTGGGAAACTGAATTGGAAATGTATAACCCATGAAAAAAACTGAACTATAGATTAGCATATCCAAGCCCCAATTTAATCCTGATATGGGATATGAATACTGTGTAGTAAGCTTTATCAATATCACAGTGCAGCAGACTTGTTAATCAATTCGCTTTCTGTATATCAAGTAAAATAAATATCTTTAAATGGAAGTACGAAAGGCGTGGTACAGCTGGCTTAAATTCAAGCTTTGTATCTTCTATATATAATGTATTATGTTTTTCAAAAACTTTTTATTAGGAAAGCTATACCAGACGCATAATCACTATACAATGATTAAACATTACCTTTACAATTTATAATCACTGAAATTACAGAATAAATATATGCACATTTCTTTTGAATCTTTGTGTGTGAGAGAGAAAACATTAAAAGTGCTTCCTACAAAGCTGTTAGTGATATATACCCAGTTGCTTCTTTATTTTTAATATCATATATATATATATATATAAGAAAGTGCAGATGTTCTCAAAAAATCTTGGCATCAGGATGAAATGTCACAAGGAGGGTGCTCATCCCTAGGTGTGTCTCCAGCTTTTAAACCAACAAGCCTTCACTGCAGTAGGATCCAGCCTCAAATGTGACTTTTCCCAGGGTGGTAGGAGAGATGCTGTGAGCTGTACACTAGGAGTGAAGGGCACGTGGAGCTATGGAGAGGAAAAAATGGATCAAACCCGAACTAAGCAGATTAAGTTGTGTGGAAGGTGTGTGTGTGTGTGTGTGTGTGTGTGTGTGTGTGTGTGTGTGTGTACTGCACCCAGTTCAGACTGAGGGACCTAAGTGTATGTAGAGGCTTGCTGTGTGCACATGAATATGTGTGTGAGAGACAACAGTGTGAGAACATTCGAGCAAGACCCGCCCCTCCCTCCCCATCCTGCAGTTTTCAAGCATGCAGCAAACTGCATTGTTAATACATGTACAGAATCTGTGCCATGATGGGAAAAGGAGAGAAAGCCATAAATGTCAACCTCCCCGCTCCCTTTCGAACAAAACTGCAACTAAAGGGAATAAAAGTTACTGAAAATAAAAAGACACATTGAATTTTACTCAATTAGGATCAATACAACGATCCCCGATATACCTCACACATGGCACAGTCAAAGTCTCGAGTTTCAGTATAAAAAATAATGATAACATTTGCTGGCAAAAGTCTGCGAAGGCACTTCATTGATTAATGATCTGAGTACGGCCCTTCCTCAGAGTCACATCTGAGAGGGGAGAGCCCACTTCTGTATTCTCTAGTTATCATGCGTTTCAGTTCTGTCCTGGGCAAGGGGGGAACTGTGAGGATGGAGTTATTGGGACAAGTATAATGGGAGCCGGGGATATATTTCTTTTTATTTTCCTTTTCTTTTGAAAATCAAAACAAAGCCACTAATTTATTCTCTTCTTTTCTGTTAGAACCTGTATGCTGTCTTCTCCAGAACTTCGAGGTAATCCGGCTTAGTTTGAAGTTTGGCCCTTAAGTCGAGGTAATCACTTTTGGGGGTTTGGTGGTCTGTGAAGCCCTTTCCAGATGCGAAGAGAAGGGTTTCTTTGAGCCTGGCGTCCTGCTGTAAGTCTGGATATTGCATGCCAGGGGGGTGGACATGGAGTTCCTTTAATTTGGGCACTGTGCCGTAGAGACAGTCCACAAATCCCACTGTGCATGGAGGAGGCTGTGGCCTCTCACGGTCTAGCAGCATACTGCCACCACCACAACCTCCCCCAGGGGGAAACAGCACCACCCCACCATTCTTCTCGTGGTGGCGGAACCCAGCCAAGTCTCCCCCAGTCCCTCCACCTACCCCTGAAACCCCACCAACCGACGAGTGGTGAGGGTGAGGGTGGTGATGGTTCACCGTCACTATGGTGTTAAGTTGGGAGTTGGAAACCGCCAGGGCCCACTCCTTCTCTTTTTCCAGCAAGGTCCGGTAGTTGCTGTGGTTCTCCTTGGGTGTTTCTGCAAACTGCTCACTTCCTAAGAGCACCTCACCCATTCCTGGTGGCTGTGTCCCAGGGCACCCACGTTCTGCAGCTCCTGGTTCCTGGGCTGCTGAGGCGGCCACTTCTTCCTCCTCTCGAGGCTTGTAGATGGGGTTGTTACACATCTGGGTAACTGGGTGCGGGATGTACTCATACACGTGACCCACGGGAGGGGCTTTCTCTGGAGAGGACAGAGTTGGTCGACCACCACCTCCACTCCCACCACCACTGCCCCCACTGTCCTCAAACAGCCGGTGACATTGCATCTGGATTCCTGTAAGGTCCACGCCTTCCTGCCGCTTGCTTCTAAAGGGCAGCTTCTTCCTCCGCCGACGGAGCACATAGGCAAAGAGGCCTGCTGCAACAAAGACAGCTGAGAAGAACAGAACCAGCAGGCTGAGAATCAACACAGAAAGTGGCACAGGGCCCCCGGGAGGAGAGAACTCATATGGTGATGCACTTGTTGGTCCTCCATTGGGGTCATAATCTCCAGACTGCGGTGGGGATGGTCCAGGTGGTGCAACATGCAGCATCTCTGGGCATAAAACTTCCAGCTCAATAGTGCGCACATCACGGTGGGTGAGGTTCTCGGGGGTCCTACAGAGTACATCACCTACCACGCTGACTGTGCTGATGGTTTCGATCCACTGTTTAAAGGGAACCAGGTCACAAGTGCAGTCCCAAGGATTCTCATTGAGATCTATCTGCACGATGGCATTCAAGTGTTCAAGGACACCAGCTACTGGCAGGTAGAGGAAGTAGTTCTTCCTCAAGTTGAGCCGAGCCAGGGATGTACCTGCAAAGGCATCAGTTGGCAGGGTCCTCAGCAAGTTATTGTTGAGAAATAACAGCTTCAAGTTGGGCATGAGGCTGAAGGCTGCAGGCTGGATTTCCCGGATGACATTGAATTCGAAGTACAAGTAATGCAAACTCTGTAAACCTCGGAACATACCTGGTGTCAGCCTTTCTATATCATTGCCATTGAGAAAGAGACTCTTCAGGTTGGGCAGGTTGATGAAAGCTCCATCCTGAACATAAGAAATGCGATTGTTCCCCAGGTGCAAGAGATCCAAAGAAGAAAAATTCCAAAAATCAGAGCGGTATATCTTCTGAATCAGATTGCTGCTCAGGTAGAGCTTCTTAGCATTCAAGGGTCTTGGAAGAAGTTCGGAGATGTTGTTAAATCCTCGTTCTTTGCAGTTGACAGTCAAGCCAAGGTCATTGATATGCAAATTACATGTACACCCAGTAGGACATATAATAGGAATAGGTGGTCTGGTCTGATAGGGGGCAATGGGAGGTTGATTTGGACCAGGGTATAGAGCCTGGGATGTAGATGGTGGTCTGGGTGTTCGGGGCTGTTTGGTGGGTTTTGGCTGCTTATTGGAGGACTTATATTCAACAGAAGAAGCTGTAAAATGGACAGAGGACAACATTGAGGAAGGTTTAGTTGGCCAGGCATTCTCCTTGCTTGATGGTAAGTGGGGAATCCCCAAACTGGCCTCCACCTCAGAATCAGACAACAATGGACAGAGTTCTGTCTTCTTGATTTCACGGAGATCCTTCCCATGGAAATGGAAAGGTGTCTCACAGGTGATGTCCCCCACCAGCGCTGTGTAAGGAATTCGCTCCAGCCAACTCTTCAGCTGCACAATCTCACAGGTGCAGTTCCAAGGGTTCTCTTCCAGCTGGAGCTCCATTAGGCTTCTGCCAATGTGATCTAGCATTCCACGGTAGAAGAGAACCTTTAACCTGTTTCCACGGAGGTCCAGATGGGTTAAAGAAACAGCCTTAAATAAATTGGTTGGAAGTACAGGAATGAGATTATCATTTAAGATTAGAACCCTCAATTTACTTAGGTTCCGAAATGCCCCACTCTCTATACGTTTAATGACATTGTAATCTGCCTGCAGGTATTCCAGACTTTCTAAGCCAAGGAAGGTGTCATTTCTGAAGACATCTAGTTTATTCTCATGGAGATATAGTCTCTTTAAGATCTTAAGACCATTGAAAGCGCCAGTTTGAATGTCCTGTAATGCATTGTTCCCAAGGTTAATGGACACAGCATTATTTAAATGAAGAAAACTATTGGTGTACAATTTTCTCATTGAATTCCTCTGAAGATACAGTTTAAAAGGTCTTGACCAGAACTCAGTAATCTGACTAATGTTTGTAAATCCTTTGCTGTCACAATGTATGTGGAAAAGGCTTTCTTTAACTTCGCAGTAGCATGGATCAAAACAGGGCTCATCTATTTCCTCTGAGTCCTCAATCAGGGGGATTGGGGTAGTCCATCCTAGAGCGATTGTGCTTAGAAGAATTATCCACAGCATCCTCCCTCTGTGAAGCATCTCAGCTATGGACGGCTTCATCATTCCTGGTTGATTGTAAAACTGCAACAGAAATAAAGATGCAGATTTTTAGCTTTTGTACTACTCTAGTGGACTCCTACAACTGGGTTTTTTCTTAAAAACAAGGGTGGTTTGAAAACCTCAGCAGGTATTGAACTGATATTCCAAATGAGGCAACAACATGTTTAATGTTTAAGGTGTTCCCTGTATTTTCAATTTAAGAGACTGACACATTGCAACATACAGTGACATTTTCCTGAACGAAGCCCTGTTCAGTAAAAGTGTTATGTGACATGAACAAAAGCAGCTTGCTCTGACTTCCTCTTATAAAAACAACAGAATTGGAACCCTGACTCGGCCTTGGCATAGGCAGATTCAGCCGTAAAGGCAATGGCTTAGTCATTATACTTGCTTTCCTGTTAAACTAAGAATTAAAATCTTATTGAAAGTCATAGGAAAAAGGGGTGTTCTTCACATTGTACACATTTATTATTAAAAAAAAAACAAATGTGGCATAACCAAAAGATATATTATATTAGTGTGAAAACAGGTGAGCCTGTTGCCCAATATCAGATCTTGAGATGTGAAAGATTGTCATAAAAAATTAAGATTTATTTTAAGGAACTATGAAAAGTTACTTAATTACCATGCGTGCCCAGCTGTATGCTCAACCCCAATCCCTTCTGCCCAAGCACAGAAAATACAAGTATCCTTTAGTTAAATAAGTAATTTCTGCATATCTCCTCATTTGGCTGTTTAAAGCATTAGGAGTGATGAGATCTCTGAAGAATAGGCCCATGCAATTGTCAGAGCTAAAGATAGTGACAGCTAAAGGTCGCTAAGCCTGGGAGTGTCTGGAGCAAAACACTTGCAAGAGCTTAGTTTGGAGTGAATCTGCGCTTTGGGGATCAGCTGAGGAACCATAAAAAGCTGTAAGGGGACAGAAGAGAAGTAGGTAGTTAAAGGCTAAAATGGGTGGGAACCTCAATTCTTACTGACAAATTATTTAGCTTGTGAAAACATTTTAGAAAAGACGTTTATTTTTTCCAGTGAGAAGAAATGAATCCAGGGCCCTATTCTGGAAACATACAGTGCCTTCATCAAAGGTTATCTCGCTGTGCTTATTGTCATCAGCATATGAAAATGTGTACATAAATACCTCATAATATTCCAGTTTCATTACAGTGTCCTTCCCAAGTAAGTGAAATATCAATCGAATTTAAATGTTGATTTTAATCAATAAAAATAAATCAAAGTCTCCAACATATGTTTTCTCCCCACACACGGTATGTATATCAAGGAAACATTCCTTAACTTAAAACCCAAGGAACACAAAGAGATAATTTATAGGGAAAGTAGGAAGAATCTAATCTTTACATTCCACTGGCATATCATGCACACAGCTGCAAGGAGAAACTCTTGAGAAAGCAAAGTGGAATCTGCCTTCGGCATGTAATAGTCAATTTTTAGAAACAATTAAATGAAAAAGAGACAGAGAAGGCAGATGAGAGCACATCGCAGTATCACTTGGTTTTCCCTTGGCTTCCGTGTTAAATGTTAGAATCGACTTACATTCCTCCTCATCATTTCTAGAAAAAAAAATTGGGGGGGGGCGGTGTTTCACACCTCTGGGCTCTATGCAGCCGGGATGCAGGCGTCTTTGACTTACCTATTTTGCAGGAGGTTTGGATTTTTATTTTTATTTTTATTTTTTTATTTTTTTGTTTCTCAGCACTGACTATGGAAAAGAAGTAAAAAAAAAAAAAAAAAACACACACCAACAAAAACAAAGCTTGAGTTTACGGTTTCTCTCTCATCCAGTCTAGTCTTGCTGAAACTGAAGCTAGGGTGCTAGAGAAGAGGGGAGGAGGTCCTAAAAAAAAAAATAAATTAAAAAGCTAGCTTGAGACGTGCAGAGAATGCAAGGGGCTCTTCAATGGGCTTCTTTAGGATGCAGGACTGCCGCTTGGCACTCTCAATAGAGGAGGGAGGAGACGGGGCTGCAGCAGGCTTCCAGCTAGGCTGCTGCTGGGCGCGCCGCCGCCTCTGTGGCTGCTCTCCCGGGTTACCCTACACCACCGGGCACAGGGGTGGGGGGAGGTGGGGAGGAAGGCAAAGGGGAAGGCAGGCTCTATCACAGATCACAGTACAGGATTCAGGACTTGTTTGGCTTTGTATTTTCTGTTTGATTTTTAATGTGTGCTGAAAATCGTCCAGCGTTACACGTCATGAAAATAGGCTCCAAGAAGGGGAACACGTTTAGCCTTGGGTCAGGAGCGAGCACTAAGAAGCCCTGACTATACAAATGCATGTGGTGTGTGTGTGTGTGTGTGTGTGTGTGTGTGTGTGTGTGTGTGTGTGTTGTGCTCGTGAGCGCGCATATGCGTGTGCGCGCAGGAGCATGAAGGGGAGCTAAAAGAAGTAAAACATTCAAGAGGATAAATGTTCAAAAGAATAAAGCAAAAATAGAGAAAGAGGAGGAGAGCCCCTAAGGGAAACATTCCTTTGGAGGAAAGACCTCGGGCAGAGGTTGAGAGGAGTACCCGCCCCTGGACCTTTGCTTTCTAGTTCTCATCTCACGTGCAAAGGCTTTGGAAAGTGAAACTGTCTTTGGAATGGTCCTTTCTTTTTCACAGACTTCCCTTCAGAGTCTGTGAGGAGCTATAGACCCACATCCCGCAGGTGGAAGAGCTGAGTCTGGCTGTCTCTGGCTGGGTGTCCCAAATAAGAGCTCAACCCTCAACCATCCTCAGATACTTGGATTGACTTTCTCCTGCATTTTGCTTCGATCCCTTTGCACCAGAATCATTTTGTTGCTGCCCAAAGCCTGAGATTTCTTTTGAATCCAACTGCCATGCGTTTCCTTCCAACTTTCTGCTTTTCTTTTCTCCCTTCCTTCCTCCCTTCCTCTCTTCCTTCCTCCCTTCCTCTCTTCCTTCCTTCCTTTCTTCCTTCCTTCCTTCCTTCCATCCTTCCTTCATTCTTTCATTCCTCCCCAGCTTCTCTCTCTCTCTCTCTCTGGCTCCCTGCATCACTTCCTCCCTCCCTCCCCTTTCCCTTTCTCCCTTCATCCTTCCCTTTCTCACTACCCTCCCCTCCACTAGTAGGAGATGAAGAACCTTGAATAGCAATGGGACAATTCACACTCTTCCTCTGGAAGACTTCAAGGGAGGGAGATTTCTGGCTTTGGTTTTCCCCTCCTTTAGTTCCTCATGCTAGATTCTTCTCTTCCTCCTCTTTCTTCTTCTCCCTCTTTCTTTCTCTCTCCTTTCTAGTGTTCTCCAAAAGGAATAATAATGAGTATCCAGACAAATGAAGATTTGACAAGGTAGAAGCAACCAGCTTGCTCTCTCTCTCTCTCTTGCTCTCTCTCACAGCCTCCCTCTAAAAGGAGTTTTCAAAGGCCCTATATGTTAGGAGGAAGCACAACTTGGTAGTGAATCCAGAAAGTGTCAAGCAAGCAGCAAGGGGATCTGCTAATCAGGAAGTGTGCTGTGTGCAGGAACCACTTCCCCCATTCTGTCACCAACTCATAGAGGGCAGGGGCTTTCTGACCACTAGATAAATGAACTCCATTGCCAGGGCCTCAAAGTTGGTGCGTAGAGAAGACAGATTTCCCCTAAGGCATCTTACAAAATCAAGTTGTAAAAGAAGAAGAAGAAGAAGAAGAAGAAGAAGAAGAAGAAGAAGAAGAAGAAGAAGAAGAAGAAGGAGAGCAGGGGATAGGTATGAATTTCTTATGGATCTAAAATCTATTTCATTTAGTTCGCCAAAGTGTCCTTAAAAGTCAATCCAAGATCTAGATGATAGCTTGCATTAAAAATATCCACGCTGCTGTCCATTGCCCCATCGCAGCTGAGACTGGAAACAGCCACCAGACTCTGTAAGCAGGCTGAAAGACTCTTGAAAAACCCCGCACCCTTCACATCCCAGACCCACCCTTTTCTCAGAGAGGTCCCCATCTGGAAACAAGCCTACATAGAAAAACTAAGCTCAGGACAGGGCTGTTCCACCTCCCTCCTCAGCAACCCCAGCCATCAAAGGCAGCAGCTGTTCCAGGGATCCTGTGGGAATCCAGGCTCTATTGGAATGAAAGGGTCCTCAGGAGGCTGTCCTGGGCTTCCCAACCATGGTAAATGGCTTCTGCGACCCTGTTCTAGTGGTCTCTGAAACTACAGTCCTAAGTGCTGGACTTTGGCCATGTCCTAAAGGCCCTTCCACAAGCTGCCTTTCCTCTCTTTTAGCATTGCATGTCTAAAGGATGTGAAGAGCTCTGAAAGTTAGGGGATGCTGGGCCCTTGGGCTGCTTTCTTCTGCGTCCTGCTGGGAGCGCCGGCACCATTTATTTGTCCAGAGAAGGACAGGAAGACAAGAAGCTCTTTCTACCCAGCGAGCCCCTTTCCCACCTCCCCCTCGTCAGTGCTCCCCCTTCATTCCAGATCTAAGATTAAATATTCCAATATGGAAGCGAAACGATCTCCCTGGAACAAATAATTAAAATGCTGCATCATTCATTTTCTGAAGAGCTATGAGCCTTCTATAGAGCCTTTTCTAAACTGCTGCCGGCAGGCGAGGCACACAACGCATATATATATATATATATATATATATATATATATATATATCCGTTTTCCTTCTGTCTCTTAAAATACAACCCAGCGCTTCACGGGGGGGGGGGTCTCCCCTTGGCCACCTGGCCTATATGTTGGAGTTAAGATTTCTTTCCCCTGAAGAAGGTGGCCTGAGGTTATATTAGTCTCCAGAAGCCCTTCCTTCACCAATGCCCTTACATCTAACAGATCCAATTCTTTAAAATAATAATAATAATAAAAATCCTAGCACCTGTGAGGGTATGAAAGATCTAGCGGCCAAAGTCTACGCGTTCTACAGCACACATCCTACATAAGAGACAGACTGATTTCAATCAGGCAAAGTAGGAACTGATGGCGACGAGTACCTATGGTGCAGAGCGCTCAGGATCTCCGAGGTTCGCTCCGAGGGGCTTCCCAGCGGGAGGGGCAAACTCTCCGCGAGGCTGCATTGTATCCGTCATTCTGTCGCCCAGGATCTTCCCCTTTTCCGGCCACCAACTTTCGGAAAGGCTACCAAATCACGCTTGTAATCCTTTTAGAGTGGTCCACCTTTGAGATTTAGAGGGAAATGGTCGCTGCATAGTGATGGGAGAGCGGGGCGCGCACCTAGCGCGGTGATGCTGGCGACCGTGGACTCAGGACCATAGCTCTCGGTCCTTGCCCCAGATGGCAGGCAGGCTGTGTGAGCGTCCCAGGACCGGGATCGCCTGGTCGAAAATCTTGGTGCTCTTCCTTCAGTGGCGAGCTCCCCGGTTCCCGAGAGCACCGGTTCCTTTCTGGATTTCTCTCTTGCTCTGTATCTCGCTGAAAGATTGTCTCTCACAGCGCAATCCCTGCCTGCGGCCTCGGTCTCCTAGCGGAGATACAGCTAGCCCTTGCCTTTTCCGAGTGTCTTTGCTCTTTGCCCTTTGGATGGGTGGGAGTGGGGGTGGGTGGCGTGGAGATGAGAGAAGACAGGGTGGGGAGAGACGGAAAAGAGGCAGGAAGGGGGCGACTAGATCTCAGATCCCAGCATTGGTCAGGTGGCGGGGTGGGGGGTGGGGGTGAGGACACAGATACAACAGTATGGCTGTACACACCACATTGCACTTGGCGTTGGGAAATCTCAGGCAGAACACGAAGGCGATGCGATCCCGTTGGCGGAGTGTGAGTCCCCTGACAGCCCACCATTCGAGTGCCCTCACTTCTCCAGCCGGAGGACAGAGGGAGGTGGGCAGAGGAGGGGGGCGAGCGTTTCAGGCCAAGGAGACGCTCCCGGTGGCGGCCGTGGCGGCGACCGCATCTTTTTAAGACTGACCTGCTTTAAAAGTACCGCTTTGATGGCCTAGGAAATAACTAAAATCAGATTACACGTTACTTACCAAACGTCTGCCTCTAAACTGGGAGCGCCAGGTCGGGGACTAGGAGGCAATATAGAAAACGCAGGGCTGGAACCTGAATGCAAAGCCATCAGCCGCCCCCAAATCGCGCACCGAGGGAGCGGCGCTCGGGAGCCCCCAGATCAGCCCATCGCTGGAGCCTCAGCCAGCTTGTCCCCCCGCACCCCTGGCCCCTCCTCCGCGCCAACTGTGTAAATCAGCCGCCGCAGTCCTCTCGCCGCGCATCGCAGGCAAATCCCTGCTTAGGAAGCAAGTGATTCTCTCTCTCTCTCTCTCTCTCTCTCTCTCTCTCTCTCTCTCTCTCTCCCTCTCCCCCTCCCTCCCTCCCTCTCTCCCTCTCTCCTTTCTATTTA